TTCATTTTGCATAATTTAAATCTGTTGAAGTCTTTCAATGTGTTATTTGGACGTTGGTGAATGTTTGTAAGCTTGTGAGCAGATTTGAATGAACCAGAGATTAAATACGCTAGAAAAAAAAAAAACCACTGAAGACAATAAACACAATACAGATTTCTGAAATTAAATACCCTCGATAGAACGGTGTTTATTCAATATTCAGCAAGTGACGGACAAAAAAGTAAGCAATAAAAGAAAAATCATAGAATAGAATCATTTATAGTATTATACTTTGTATGGAGACACATTATCTGTCTTAAGTTAAATAAATGAATACAAATAGACATAAATAGTCAATGATTATTTGGAGATCGTGAGATGCGGTCTGGTGTGACGTAGGTTTTAGACAAATATTTTTTTTATCGTAAGAACGTTTCGATCTTTATTAAGATTATCTTCAGGGCTCAAAGTGTTTGTTTTCTGCGTAATTATGCCATTCTTGTGTGTCGTGTTGAGAGTGCCAATGTTTCTTTTGAAATGTATTGTGACCTTATGTATGTCGTTAATTCTGGTGTTGGGTTGTGTTAGTGTGGCATTTGTGAAGTTAAAATTGTTTTTGATGTGAGTAGGAAATACCTTGTGTTGTTTGCATTTCAACAAAAAAGTTCCCTGATTGACAGCCGATGCAAGTTTCTTTTCATTGTTGGCGATGTTCTTCAGAATACTCTTTGCTTGATTGAAATGCAGACAACGCAAGGCCATGAAAATCATCTCAATAAAGATCGAAACGTTGGCATATAAAGAAAATGTTTTTCTAAAACCTACATCACACCAGACCGCGTCTCACGATCTCCAAATAATCATCCAGTAACGGTCACTAAACACTACACACACATTCTAATTATTGTACATTCTGAAATTGAAAATTGGAGTGCCAATTACATTACTACGAAACATCAGTCAACCGAAGATGTGCAAGGGCACACGATTACAATTACAAAATGGATGAACAATCTAAAATAAAACATCAATTCTGATTGGACCCCATAAAGGTGACGGCATACTACATGCACGAATACCACTGATTCCAACCGGCATGGCATTCGAGTTCAAACGACTTCAGTTTCCAATATGGAAAACGGACAAACAAAGATGTAGTCAATACTAATAATCCTGTAATCAAGCTTACAATAAAAAAATGATTAGAGTGAAAAACATCTTTTTTTTTCCTTTCCTTTTTTTTTCCACGTAGCTCCGAAACGAATTGAATGTTATGTTTTCCCGGTGTATCCGGGTACCAGCTAGTTATAAATATAAATTTATGCGACTTAGAAATGCACTTTTTTCTTTTTTTTTTGATTTTGGGGCTGCATTGGATCGGATAGGAAAGCACTATTTTACCATTTGTCACTTACGGGCTTTCAACAAGAATTATTAGTCCTATCATATTTAGTGGTCTATTGACCAAATTACTTTTTTCAATTAATTTTTTTTTTTTTTGCTTAACCTGGCGGCATTAGCCATATACCTATTTTACCGTGAGACAAACGGAGTGCCACCGCCGCAGGCGGCCGGCCTCGCACAGCCACCTAGGGAGATACAGCGGGTCACCCCTTTTTTTCTTCTCTTTTTTCCAGGTGTTTTAGGAGGATGTAAATAAAAACCATTTACAATTTTACACCTATGGAAAAGTCCACGTGCCCCCACAAACCGTGGCTAAACCTGCCTAGTTCCCACCATACCGTGCTCAAACGACACCCAAAGACGACCGCCCCTGGCTCAGCGACCCCCCCCCCATCCAATCTCAGGTGCTATTTGTTCCTTTCTTTAAATGGGCAGGTCGTTGTTGGTCAGAATGTTGAATACAGTGTCTAGAACATCCTAATCGCCTAATCTCAGAACTTGGACCATGTTAGTCGGAAGTGGGACTCTTTTCGAAAGTAAAATGGCATAGTCTCTCTCTCTCTACCTACGGAGCAAAGCGCGCATGCGAGTAGAATATGGTCTGCGTCGGCGCTACTGGAGCCATCACACTCACAGCATTCACTATTTTTCACTCCTATCTTATAGATGTAATTGGGTAGTCTGTTATGATTAAGACGCAGTCTGCATATGGATGTAAAAAATCTCCTAGGTCGATTTATGCTATTAAACCACGGTTTTAGTTGGAGGGAGTATTGTATATCTGCAAACATATGCTAGTGACTGATGAACTTTGGTGAATTTGGAATATTCGTACTCTCTTTGCCACTTCTTTTTAATGACTTATCTATTGTGAGAGCGAATGTCCAGAGATGATATTTCATAAAGCGGTTGCCCTGTGACAGCAGCTTTTTTGGCCTAGAGATCCACTTTATTGTTGAAAAGGTTTGTGTCGTGAGATTTAACCTACATGAAATAGATTTTAGTGCGGGAACTAGAAAGTATTATGTCGTTGTTTATTTCTATGATGATGAGGTATTTGGGAGAATAAAAGGTTAGAGTTTTAAAGGGAAGTGAAGACACTAAGGCTGTCAGAACATAGAATCGCTCGTTCCGGGACCTGGCTTTTCTATAAATTTGATTCCCTCTCTCAGAAAATGAAAAAGTTAGTGCCAATCAAATCCCGCTCGTGGCACTAACTTTTTCATTTCGATAAAAATCTTAACATAAAAAGTTTAATTAATTATTAGTATCCTTAAAAGTTATTATGCGGGATCAGATACTTTAATCTGGCTAAAAAAGCACTGACGTCTGATCTTGCCTGCCGACTTGGAGTCATACAAGGGTGCCTATTCACTCCTGTACTGTTCTCCATCTTCCTTAACGACCTGGAGGGCGACTTTTGGAGTACTCAGTAACCGAATAAAAATAAGGTCACTAATATATGCAGTGTTATACTGTTGCTGGCCTCTACACCCGCATCCCTGCAGCTCATGATAACGAATTTAGAAGAATATTAAGTGGAACATTGGGGCGTCGGTGGCCGCATTGGTTTGGGCGTTGAAACGGCGCTCATCACTGTAAGGTAAAGGTTCCGGGTTCGAATCCAGCGGCCCTGCATTCAAGCGCGACATACTTACAAATGGTTTATTTTTTCAAAAACACCCCGCGGGTTGATATAACCTATAAAAAAAGGAACCTTAATTTGAATCTTCAACATTCCCAAATCATGGTCCGCTACGAAAATTAATTAAAAAAACACAAATAAGTGACTAGTTTAATAAATAAATGAAAAATAATAATGATAACAAATTAATATACAAATATGTAAGACTAAAAATCAATCAAATAAAAAAGCTTAACAAAATTAAAATAAATATAGAAATTAAAATTAGCACGATAATTAGTGTAAAAATAAAGATAATATAAAAATATGTAAAAATAATAAATAGAACCATAAAATGGCAGCTCGACGACTGCTAAAGCAAATTATGTAAAAATTAATTGTGTAAGTAAAGAATTTATTAATTCATACTGAAAAGATAAATAAAGAGTAAAGTTAACCTTAAAGTACATTTTTGTAGGAGATTAGGTTCGCTATTTCTCTAGGAGCTACTGAAATTTATTATTTGAACGATAGTCCAAAAGTTCGCATTCTTTTTCATATGATCAAGGGTTTTTCTTTGGTTTTTGTACGTACACTTCGAGAGGACATTCTTTTGCAAAGGGTTTTTGTTTTGAGACACTGGAAAAGTAGAGAAGGAAGCAAACCCGTCGCTCGGTCGAAACGTTCTTAATCCGGGTTTTGCGCGTCTAATCCGCCTTCAGCTTCCTCTCGGTGAGCAAGTTTAAAGTCTTCTTTAGCTAGATTGTTAAATAAAAAGTGGCGCCTTCCAGGCTATAACGGGTAAAAAGTAAATGTTTAAGTAGTCATTTTATCAACTCATTAAAATTTTATAGTAGGATAATTCCACCGAGAGAAAACGAGCCACAAGTAGAGGATAAATATTTAAAACACAATATTAAACTTATTTTCATTTTATCTTTATTTAAACACAAAATAATCTCTTAGGGAAGTAAAAATATCTTTTTTGATTAAACTTTGCATTTTGTATATACATGTTTTTATTATCACTCATTCTATTTAGTTGTATATTAAACAAGAGTAAATATCTTGATATTCATGCGTACATAATATTCAGATTAGTATTAAAAAAACCTTTCATACGTTTATAGCCAATTTCAAAATTTCATAGATTATTTTTTCATCATTTTAATCATAAACGTAGGTACTCCAGCATTTTTTGTAGCAGTATATTTTATATATNTATATATATATAGTTTGTTTATTACGAGGGTTCGCAACAGCAGAGGTTATATCAACTCTCGGGGTGCCAGTAGGTTTTTGAACAAAGCCCATTTGTAGGTATGTCGGATTCGAATGCAGGGCCGCTGGATTCGAACCCGGGACCTTTACCTTACATAGATTAGCGCTGTGTCATCGCTTAAACCGTTGTGGCCACTGACGCCCCTGGAAAATTATATTATATTATATCTTGTTATAAGATATTCTATCTTGGTACTATTGATGATGTTATAAATGTTACACGAGATTTAAAGTTAATTCAGAGACAGACAGATTTAAAAAAATGTATATTTTCTATAAATAGCTATTGTTACGGTTTTAAATTTCTGGCTAATGTATATGTATGGATATGAATAAAGTACATAAGGCAATAGTACAAAGGCATGATCCACCCTCTCTGTTTCTCCAACCTCAATCTAAACACGGTTTTCTTTTGAGAAAATTTGAGAAAGAAAAAACATTGTTTAAAGGGTAAACGAGCAGAACGGACCAAAGGCGACAATTTAAATTCAACGTCACATCTTCTGAAACAGATTTGACGCCGAATAATCAAGCCCTGTGGAAATACACGCCCTGCTGTAAATAGTGCCTCAGCGAATGAGACGGAAAACGGCTGCCCTCAAATAGTCAAACCAAGAATTGACCTGAGAAATTATGCATGGCTAAAAGTTAACCCAAACGTTTATAAACGAGTTGACGATACACCCTTACATTTAATATTTTACTTTTGCAGGTCGTCTTCAAAAGCCTTAAGATCCTTGGATCTTAGCTACAACCAGTTAGAGGCAGTTCCGCTAGATTCACTCAGGCACTTAAGAGCACTGGAGTGGCTCAACTTGCACGGGTAAGGTGAAGTAAAGTCTCAAATAATTAATACCCTCTTCTAATGGCACTTCAATTTACTCAACTCAAAATTATTTAACTCGAGAAACTTAGCGAATACCCTTTTCAGAGTTTTCTTTTTCCTCGCGGAAAGACGTTAGTTTTGCGACTAAAGTTTCTGAATTATTTCTCAAGTTTCGCGTTTTATATAACGACCACATTCTCTCTCTCTCTCTCTCTCTCTTTGTTTAGCGTTCGACATGTATAAAAAACATAAATCAAAGCATATTGTGTAGCACCCGTACTAACACAAAATTTGTTTGTTTTAGAAACAGTATTAGTTCCTTGGGAGAGGAGACAGACTGGGGCACACTAAGGCATAGCCTTACAAATGTTTTCCTCGGCGAAAACGATTTGAGGGATCTTGGCCAAGAATACCCTTTGTCGCATTTTCGTAAGCTGGTTTCCGTGAGCCTGGAGAGGAATAACATCATGCACCTGGATTCTGGATCGCTTCCACCGACTGTGCAGACCCTCAGCGCATCGCACAACATGATTAGGAAATTCCCTGTTGAGTTGGTGGACAATCTGAGAGCAATTGCCTGGTTGTATCTCAGGGACAATTATATAGAATCCATACCGCCTTACAGCTTCAAGACTCAGAAGAACTTCGACAAACTCGATCTCGGGGACAACTTCCTTACGGCGGTCCCTATAGACGCTTTCAACAGTACTGTCACGATAAGGGACTTAAACTTAGATTGCAATTATTTTAAAACCCTACCCGCTCTCGCTTTCAAGGGGCTGACCATTGGAAGGATCTCCATTTCTATGAACAAACTGGAAACTGTGAACGAAAGAGCTTTTGAAGGTCTTGGCAATTCCCTCGAGTACCTAGAATTAGGGGGAAACCGTTTGCAAAAGGTGCCAAGAGCGATTAGCACATTGACGAAACTGAAATATCTTTACATACCGTCCAACAACCTCACAGTCATTCAGCCAGACGCTTTTAGCTCATTCTCTGAAAGTCTAAATGCTTTATCACTCTCCAGAAACAAGTTGGAAGAAATCCCAAAGCATGCTTTGAAAAAATGCAACCAGCTCGCTCATTTAAATCTCGGCTACAATTACATAAGAGACGTTGCAGAAGCGGACTTTTTGGGGTGGGGACATAGGCTAGATACGCTACTACTTATGAACAATAGGATAGTACAAATTCACGAGCATACTTTCCATCACACGCCTCACCTCAGGGAACTTTCATTATCGTTCAATAAAATCACCGAGCTACATGAAAAGGCTTTCACTGACGTCTCTAATAGTTTAGAAAGTTTAGAAATAAGCTTCAGTTTGTACCAGGAAGACTTTCCTGAGGATTCCTTGCGTCCTATGTCTTCTATTGTGTGGATGGCTTTAGATAACAACAACTTCAGGACTATCAAAGACACGGCTCTTTCCAGTTTCAAGCATTTGAGGTATCTGAATTTGGACGGAAATCGACTATGTAAACTTCCGTTCGGTCTGTTCAATTCTGAAATACATAGACAACTAAGGGATGTGAGAATTTCATACAACCATCTCCAAATCATTGAATCCAACGTATTTGATGGGTTGGAAGAGCTACAGTACATAGTTCTCGCCGGCAACCAAATATCCAATATCGAATCCTACGCCTTCACGAATTTACCAAATAAAGTATCCATTTTCCTTTCGGAAAATAGAATCGCTAACATCGGCCTCAAGGCTTTCAGCAGCATACACGATTTTCTCAAACTGGACCTACATTGCAACGAATTGCATGAATTTAGTTTAGCGTCTTTTTTCAACGTGACAAACGCGGATCATCCTCTCTCTTTGAACCTTTCTAGAAATGCACTAATGAATTTACAAACGGGAGACTTTGTTGGTGGACTTTTTGTTAGTTCTGTGGATTTGAGTTATAACGTGTTGTCCGAAGTGCCCAAACTATTTTTCGAGACGATTGGAGATGTCCTCAGAAGAATATATCTAGGTTACAATCACATATGGAAATTAGACGAGTCGGCATTCAGTAGTCTTCAGAACCTAGAAGCATTGGCTTTGGAACACAACAAAATTGAAAAATTGAGAAAAAGGGCTTTTGCCGGTCTGCCCCGCCTTCAGATTCTGGACCTATCGCACAATCATATCGAACAGCTTCACATGGAGCAATTCAAACATCTAGTGAACCTCAGGGTGATGGACCTGTCTTACAACCATCTACGCTCAATCCCGAGGGACGCTTTTCAAAACACCAAATTAGAGAGAATAGACTTGTCCAACAACCAGCTTGTGTCTGTACCAAGTGCTTCCCTCGGCGAAGTCGGTTTCACGCTTCGGCTCCTGGACGTTTCGCACAACCAAATAGAACATCTCGACAGCACAGTTTTTCCAGAGACGCCGCACCTCACGACGTTAAATCTCTGCCACAACAGGATCACCCTAGTGCCGGATAACGTTTTTACGAGTGTCGGTGGGCTTTTGAGACTGGACATTTGCGGAAACAGGGTGAGAGCTAACTTCAAAGAACTGTTCCATTACTTGCAAGGCCTGAGGTCACTCAATTTGGCTTCTACTGGACTCAAGTCGGCCCCCGTTCTTCCTCTTCCGAACCTCATTAGTTTGAACCTCTCCGACAACGCGATCACGGATCTTCCTCGACCTATAGTCGAATATCTTCCCAACTTACGTACCTTAATAATCAGTCACTGCCGTTTTACCACTCTACCCTCAAACGCATGGATAAAACTGCCACTTCTTAAAAACCTCGACATCTCCTTCAATCCCATTAAGGTAAATATATAAAACGTACAATTTTCCAATTAACACTGACTTAATAAATTATATAGACTTATATAGTTATTTGAAAAGTTTTGATGAAAATGTTCCAGGCTTTGGGTTAAATTTTATAAATCCCTCACACTGTGCGATATAAATAAATGTCAATTTAATTAATTGAGAACTTATGTAAAATGTAACGGCGCTGTATTTATAACTTTGAATTGGTTGTTTACTCGTCTGTCTGACAATACGAAAAAATTGTGTTCACCTCCTAATTAAATTTAGGTATAATTAGTTTTACGTAATATAAAAAATTATTTCTCCTGGGATTAATAAAACAATCACCAATCTGCTTTCATTCAATTTTGTGCTATTAACCAAACTTAAATTAAAGCAACATAAAGTTTTTCACTATGTAGTGCAAACAAAATATTTGAATTGTATATAGCAAAAATTTAATTTTACTCATATCCAATGTGTTATTTTTGATGCGACGAGTGAAACAAGTGAATTGTAAATGTAACAATGCAAATTCTTCAGTAGTGGTTTTCTCATTTATAAAGTGAGCCTAACAGAAACTGAGAAACAGTCTTATGTCGGTCACGTAGGCTCGTTTTTCTTCGAAATAAAGAAGCTCTGAGATTACGCCAGGCAGAACTGTTATCGCTTTAATCTCTCCCTCATAACTGCGAATTTAGTATTGATTAATTGAGAGTGTACAAAAATATTTCACTCCATTTGTATATATTTTGTAAATTGTATATACAGCCTAAAGGGTGTCGTTTTTTGATGGCCCGGCTGAATTTCTCTTGAACCAATGGCTCTATTAAAAAAACGTGTTTAATTCTTTTTAGCCTAGTTTCAAATTATTACCTTTTTTGAGGAAAAATGATACAGGGTACCGCAGGCCAAGTTCAACTTCAAAATTGTAAATACGACCCTATACATCCTGACACATCATTTTAAAGAATTTTTACATTTGAAAACAAAGGGGCAATCGGATTTAATCTCGTCAAAATATGACAAAGTTACAAAAAGTTTGAAAAAACGTGTTTCGTTTGCTTGGTAGTTAATTCCAATAATTTCCTTCTTCACTAAAGAAAACATTAGGAATATTCAGGATGTTTTAAGATGTTAACTCTTGTTAACTCGAATAGAAACATGTCCAGTAAGATTGTGAATGCCCCCTTCTTTTCTTACAATGTTAAACATTAATTTTCCGCAATATTGCTTGTGGTGATTGGTAGAACCAAAAATAAAGCTATAACAGTCCTTAAAGGCTTGTTCTTTATTTTGGTTTTCTTTTGTGTTAAATTGTAAGATGCCAGAAGTAATAAAAAAAGGAAAATTAATCAACCCTTTCATTCAAAATGATATCTTTGCACTCGAAAAGTACTAACAAATGACTCGCTTCAATTCGTGCCGGCATACCTAATTTGTATACTAACGTCTAACAGCCTACTACTTTATAGGATGTATATACTATGAATGAGAGTATAAGGACAGGTCAGAAATTAACAAAATAAATTTATTAGTCTGATTTAATTCATGCGTATTTAAGAATAAAAATACGTGTAAACAAAAAACAGCTGTTAAATTCATGGCTGTCATGTTGGTTACCTACGCCCTAACGGATAGCAAAGTGACTATATTTTCGACCCAACATCTAACATAGGCTCTGGCTTGTTAGATCGAGCAATGTTAACTAGCCGATTCTTACAAGTCTACGTCATCATTTTTCTCGATCTAACACGACCTACCAGAGGTAACAGGGTTAAGACAAAAATCGTGAATACACCTATTAATTGCCTTTGTTGTTTACATTATGTCGCTGTTTGCCGAACTCACATTATTAGAGTAAATCAAATGGATCATCTCTCCAAATTAGATTGCAGTACCACTGTCACAAATAATTTGTTTAGAATTATTATGATGGTCGAAAATTTATATTGATTTTCTTTCTAAATTTAAAGGTCGGGAGTAGGTACTCGGTCGTCCTTAAAAGGACAATGAGGATTTTTAACGTCCGCACCTGGCCGATTAGGTCTTATTGGACGTTTATTCTCCCAGATGTCCCAGCCCAGAGGAGCCAAGACAGCCTCGCTCCCCGCTTGCCCATTGTGAGTGGTTGGGTCCGCATTGAGCATCAAACCGTATGCCGCGTGCAAACGGCTACCTAGCCTGGTTTCCCGCGCACTCCCTAGATAGAGAGGGCTATCTATCTCTCTCTATAGGCTACTCTATCTCCAAGAGTATTGGGGCTGCTCCATCGTAAGAATTTCCGGATCCGCTCCGGCCGCGGTTTTGTTTAAAGTGGAATTGCTAACCACCCCCTAGAGGAGACTGCCTTCGGTAAAGGACGCCATTCGTGTGCATTACATACTTCGAGTAGGCACAACGAACCACTATCCATTCCCATCCGCCACTTCTCTCGTATTCGATGGACTCCGTCAGCGTAGTCTGAGCGTCCTCAACGCTATACACTTCGATTGTCCGATACTTCGTATCCCATCCCGTGAGGCCGGGCTCATAACGATGGTCATACGCAAGTATTCGGGAGATAGAAGAACATTCTCTTCTCTAAGTACCCGCCAGAAACCTCACCACGTACCATTACCGTGCCACGTACCATTCCCAATGTAGCAGAGGCTGGACTTTGGAACATTTCTGCTACCCCGTAGTACAGTGGCTATACAGACAGGCTGTGGTACCCTAACCCTCGTGTGCCTCTGATAAAGCATCCGCTGTTCCCTGCCGACCCGGAGGCCGACACGAATACAGCTTATGCTTTAGAGAGGTTGCCACGCCCTCAAGGCTGCACCATTATTTTGCACCTGGAACCCCCCTTGTAACCAAGGGTTGGGAGAGGTCGCAAAGAAGAGAAGGAGAGAGAAGGAACCCGGATTGAGAAAGGGAAGTGAACGAGTTCACGAGGTTCACCTTTTCAGGCGCCTCCCGCCTTGTCCACACTGTACCACCCATCGTAAGAGTAGGTACTAAGAAAAATTACCGGCAGGCCACGAGGATCGTCCACCTTGGGCTATGGCCCTTCGGGATTAGCCCTCGGTCCTAACCGTCCCGACGCCAAACCATCTCCGGTTACCTTCAGCCAAGACATTCAAGCCTTCAACGCATCAGTCTTTAAATCTAAGACCACTCATGCTGTCACTCACTCTTAAATACGTTTTTTCTTATTTAGATATCATTCACTCGATTAGGGATGGCTGGGTACACTTGAAATATTGCTCCTTTATGTTATACATTTAATTTCATTTAGATCATGGGTTACGTTATATTCCACTATCAGCCTCTCACATTACACACGTATTTTAATAAATACATTCATTCTCAGTATACACAAAACGAGATATCTATTAATACTATTTGTTGGGGTCCTTCCGAGCGCTGTTAAACCTTGCGGGCCCTCACAAGGGCCGGTATTGTACCCAGGAAGGTCTCAACTGTTCTGCCCTACCGGGAAGCCTGCAACCGTGAGCTCTACGGCACAAGACCCCTTTCAGGCAGATGAGAAGGGCACTCCCTAATTCGTGGGCTCTGCAGAGCTGGCGAGGAGGCTTTTGGCCCTAAAAAGGACCGTTGAGTGAGTGGTAGAGCTTCCACCTGTCCGACTGTACCGGGCACCCCGGAGATCGTGAGCTCGTACGACCCGTGGGTCCGTCCTTTCTAGTCTTCCAAGTGGAATTTCTAGTTCTTGAGTAACTCAAGAAGAGCCGGTGAAGATATGGGCAAGACGTACCTGCAGAGATCGACTTGAATTCTTCGCCGGTCCGATGGACATGTCTTCTTTCGTTGAACAGAGATTAGTGACTGCGTTTTTAGTTTTTACAAAAACAGTGTTTCTTAATCCTTGGCAGCCAAAGGTATTTCGGCGGTATGAATTCGGGGGAGCGGGAAGTGGCTGCCTTGGATTCTCGTTTTCTCTTTATTCCAAAGTTTTATACAGTTCGTTTATGTTTATTTACAATCTACAATATAATACAATTAATTTACAATGTTATGTTAAACCGCTATTACATTCTTATTTATAAGTTAGATAACAACAGAAAGCAACAATCCTTAATTGAACTGGTGATTAATTTGGTGGTCTTCCCGCTAGGTGTCGCATTCGTCGAGAAGGTGGTAAGCCACCACAACTATATACCTTAAAACAACCCTGTTTCCTTCAAGAATCGTAACTGAGGACCCAGATACTAGCTGCCGCGTGCAAGCACAATTCTCATATCGGGTGGCATTCCTACACGCTCTCTGTCTGGAGCTAAAGAATGACATCCTAAATTAGGTGGGATACATCGACCTTTCTCAAGCTGGACATATGCGCTGGCTTTGGCCAAAAGTAAATATTCGTGTGTCAGTGTCGCTTGGCATATTCTCTATCAGGTCTTTTCTACGATTCAAATCCTCCTTGGGCCTTCCATGACCGTTCTCTTGATATTTATCTCTGCCCATCCGACCCACGTACGATGCCATTTCCTTTTGATCTTATTTTGTATCTTATTTTTAGCTAAGGAACGACCCCCTTCAATGACATTGAAGACGTCCCCCGGAACGTACGGACATTTATTTTATAATAAATTTAGTAACGTATTGAAAAATGTAATAGTCGTTTCATTACCTTCTTGTTTTAATTTCGTCATTTCGATTTTGAGCCTTAAGCGGGGAACACACTTACCCGATTCTATGCTATGCGACGCTACCCGAAGCCACCCGATGCAAATCCAAAGTCCAATTTTCCATAAGATTGTATTACCCCCGTGCACATCTGCCCGATGGTAGGCAACGCTACCCTACTCTACCACGGTCCAGATTTTCGTCGGGTTGCATCGAGTACAGTCGAAGACAAAAGAACCGTACACTCATGTTTTATTTCAAACTGTATGTATTATTGTTGTTATATTAATTACAAGCGCCCTTAAAAATTAATAATAAAAAATAATAAATATAATAATAACAAATACANAAAATAATAAATTAATAATATAATAATAATAAATGACGTCGCACAGATGTGCACACCCTACCAAAACGTGGCAAGGAGTCGGGTAGCATCGGGTAGCGTCGCGTAGAGTTGCATCGGGTAAGTGTGTTCCCCGCTTCATGCTCTCTTTTTGGTCACCATACTCTGCGAAAAAATCTTTTTTAATTTCCTACTGATCCTACTGATATATACTAAGATAATTTAGTACTTATAATAATTAAATGGGTGAAGAACGTAATCGATATAACTATTTATGATAAGAAAGATGGCTGTCTCAACGTCCAATAAATTAAATTGGGATGGTTTTCATTGAAATTGCTTTAAATGTATGTCCTCATGGTTTTAACCCATTATTTAAAAAACTCAATTGCTTGTTTATCCACTCAAACACAAACACCCTGAACGAACTGGAAGTTTCGTGAACTGTCTTAAGTTATTAAAAATTGGATTTTCATGCATGTAATTGAAATAACTGCAAACATTTCTTTGTCTATTTTTCTCCCCTACCTGACCCAGGGCTTGTTTAGATAAAAAATTTAAATTATACAGTCAAATTGCAGCCGGCGTAAAATAAAAAGCCACCCGTGTCACGCCGAGTTCAGTTTACCACGGCCCCATCCCAAGCTCGGGTGTACATTGCCGTATAAAAGTAATAGTAAAAATGAAGATTAGGTTTAATACTGGTAGGTTGACGGTTTGGGGCATGTTATACATTCTTATTTTTCAGCTAAGAGGATGGAAAGATAGAGCTATGCCCTCAGTTAAACCTACATTATACCGCCGGATTACGGGCCCTTCAGCTCGACTTAATAACGGCCACTTTTTTCCATTTCTTTTATCAGAAGCGTTACTTTTAGTTAGCCTTTTTTGTGCTATGAAGTCCTTCGACTAGACTTTATAACAACATTACGCAAATTATTAAAGTTTTTCGAACCAGGATGGGTTTCTACCTATGTAGATTTATATATTTTAAAATGTAATTTGCTTCTTTCCTAAAAAAATCCAAGTTTATTTCATACCTATCTTTCATAATTTATGTGTTACGACCAACCCCTAGACAATTGACTATTCTGACAGTTGAATTTATAAAATAATTCGGCTTAAGTCTTAAAGATTTAAACACGATCGAAGAGGATCGGAATTTATTTTCAAATCGTAATTACACTATTATCAAACATTAAATCAGCAGTGAATCATCCAATTTGACTGGACTGTTGTTGGAAAACAATTTAGAAAATGATAGATTTTGAAAATATATATTTTGAGGCAGTCAACGCTGTGTCTAGTGTACAAAATATATTTATATAATCTTTTTGTGTAAGGTTTTGGTTGAAATGAAAAAGTTAGTGTCACAAGCTATCGTTACTTCCGAAGTTTTGTGACACGACAGCTCAAGTGTTTAGAGCAGCGTCGTATTGAGCCGAAGGTCGTGGATTCGAATCCCGCTCGTGGCACTAACTTTTTCATTTCAACCAAAACCTCACATAAAAGGATTATTTAAAAAGAAGATCGTGGGTTCGAATCCCACTCGTGACACTAACTTTTTCATTTCAACCAAAACTTTACATAAAAAGATTAATTAATTGAAAGATACAATTTGGTCAATAGACCACTAAATACAATGGATTTTTAAATAATAATCATTCAAGTTAAACTATGGTCAAAAAACATTGTTAGGTAGCTAGAGGTAAGCGATTTTTCAAATCTATATTAGATTCTTTCTTTATCCTAAAATGATCATGACAATTAAACATTCAAAGAAAACTCTAACGGGTAAAAATAAAATACATTATCAAATGTTGGGTTAATCTTCCATACAAAAAGGCAAAGAATTTTTGAACTCAATTTGGAAAGAAAAGGAAAGTCCAGCCAGTTGGAAAGATTATATATTAGTTCCCATTCAAACTTGCTGAAAATACTTTATCGCCCAATTTGTTTGGTCTCATGCCTGCAAAAAACTTTTGAAAGGTTAGTTAAATGAAGGGTACAATTGTTTATGGAATTCAATACTAAATCACCCGTTATTCAACATGGTTGTAGAAAAGAAAACTCAATCCTAGACTCTTATGCTCAATTAATTACATATTACTTTTTCACAGACAAAACGTAAGCCAACACCGTTAATAAAGACTTATAATTGGTGGTTGGTTACTCTGTTGATAATTCTGGTAACTCATACTTCTTTCCCGCGCACTTTCAATTTCAATCATTTCTTATAAAATGTTTTTGTCTTCAAGTCCTTAAAATGTGTTCGCCTTATTTCTAGTACCTAATCAAGTCTCCTCCCAAAAGAAAGGCATGAGGTTATTTTACTAAGAAAACTGAATCGTCGGCATCTTGTAAACTCTGAGGAATACAGTAAGAATACGTCTTATTTTGTCAAACATTTGAAAACCAAACACCCATTGATCAATTTTTCAAATTGATATATAACGATAAAATTGAAATATGAAATATGTTGAAATGTGTTGGCTGCTTTTCCTTGTTTGAGTATGAAATACTTAAAAATGAAAAAACTGCAATTTCTTGATTATTTTAAAGCATGAGCGTATTTTAACTAAAGTCCACAATATGAAGTTGATAATTTTATGAATAAACGAAAAACTACTCATATGAGTAAGTACTCGTTAGTATTGAATATTTTCTGTCGATATTTGGGTGGTATCGAATATTTCTTTCGATACCAGTATCGAGTACTGGTATCGAATATTTTCTGATATCGCACGTCACTATTCTCACCTTGTTGGTAAACTAAACTATCTCATCACTGAATTGTCACCGTTCATACCTTACACATCCCCTATTGTGTGTCCGTGCACGTTCCCACATGTTCGTTTTTCAACAGTTTTACTTGTAGCATATTTAAAGCATTGTAAATAAATAAATGAATTTTTAAACAAATTCTTTGTGTTAACGGGAATTTTTCGTCCGAGCCCAACACGCGGCTTCTTAATACATTTCTGCCTGATCATCTAAGTACCGAAGACAGTAAAATCCTTTAAAAAAACATTTTAGAGCTTGGTGTTCAAACCCCAAATTTAGAACCGTTCAGTATCCTCCCATACATTCAAGACTATATATGAAGTAAAATAAAGAAGTGGATTTGAGCTGTGGAGGCGTGAGTCCTTTCTTTAGGGTAGGCTGGAAGAACAGGCATATAGGGAGTAGGTCCTTTAAGAAACCTTAAAGAATGCATCATGAAAAAATTAAATAAAATAATATGAGGATAATAGGAGGTGAAAAACTCGGTATATTAAAAAAACATTTGGTGCAAAAAACTATTCCTAGGATGTTTTCAATTTCTATAAAAACACAATTCTATAAATGTTAATTTTATTTTTTTTCTATTGATCTAAGGCGCTCACAAAAGAAAGTCTGACTGGCCTTAGCAGGCTTGAATATTTGGAGATGGACGGTCTTGACTCGCTGGAGAGGGTGGAAAACGAAGCATTCTGGGGCTGCAGATGGCTGCGTAGGCTGGGCATGCAGAGCGGCCACAGACTTGGTGTACTTTTGTCTTCGCTGCCTTACCTGACGAGGCTGACTGTCCGGGTGCTTGAGAAGCGCCTCAGCTCCCAGCTGACTCAGCTATCTTCCAAGTTGGCCTATTTAGAGATCAAGGGGGAGGCCCTGAAGGAAATCGAGCCGACGGGACTTATCGGCCTGGCGCGAGAAGCAGTGTTGGCCATAAGAAGCACTTCCATCGAGGAGCTGCCGCTGGGTTTGCTCTCCGGGCTGGGGCACGTCACCCACCTTACCCTTGACATCAGAGACAATAAAATCACATCCCTCAGCCCGGATACGTTCTACTTCAATCTCACCGGTTGGGAGAACATCGGTACCAAATTAATATCAGGTAATCTATCGATTCCTTTATTGATATTTAGCTATTTATTCTAAACTTTTAGCCAATTTTATGAATTCATTGTGTATGAATTAATTATGTAAACTAAGAGCTACAGCAGAAGTAAAATATATTTTACAAAACAACTTCTGTAACTGACATTTATGCCATAACTGCCATCTACATAAAATAAAAAGGAACAAAATGCGACAACACACTTTATCTCCCTCTCTTCCTCTTATGACACACATAACGCGTGACATCACCATATAGCCCACTTTCTTATTAGTCGAATCCCCGCTATTCGGATAAATGCGACAGCGATCCAAGAAACGTCATTCTTCACTCGTGGATAGGAATCTGCACTCATTGTCGGAGTGAAGGACAATGAACTTTCTTTCTTTTTTCATTGTCCTTTTCTTATAACATTAATATTATGTTAATTATAACGAAGAAGGAGAAGAAAGAAGAAGAAATTAAATTTTATTCTGGAAGCCCCTTGAATAAAAATATATTTAAAAAAAATTTATATATAATATATAAATAAAAATTTAAAAGAAATTGCAAAAATACCATAAAGCGTCCACATACCGAAGTAGCAAGGACATACGCAGACCAAAATTAACGTTAACGATCAAATTACTGGTTCATTAACAAGCAGGAGAAAAAGAAAAATCTCACAATAGAAAAAGAGACCGCATCTCACGATTTCTGAATAATTATCGATTAACGGTCACTAACCACCACACAAAAATAGAAAAAGTTTTGGGTCGATATTTGCTGAAGACAAGAAATTTATTATTACTTATTACTTATTTATTGCAAAATTTTGAGGAGAGGTAGAGTGTCGGCCCGAAACATTTCTGAAGAAGATAAAAGTGGTAGAAGAGTTTTGAAAAAAAAGCCTATTTATCAAAAAACAACATTATACCTTCATGCTGAATATATCATTTATTTATTTATTTGTACAGATTATCATAAAGATATCATTTTTTAACTTTTTCCCACCTTATATTTGTAGAGAGCAAAAATACACCCTATATAAGGGAGATTTCTTTTTTAATTCGGAAGTGAAAGCTTTCACACCTTGTTTTACTAGTTGTTCAACTGCCTAGGTTTTACGAGTTGGACCATTTGATCGGGCTTGCTAGCTTTACTTTTCCAGCACGGTTGCAATAACCCAGTTTATTCAGCTAGTTATAAACAGCTGGCGTTTTTCCGCTTAAGTCTTGCAAATATTGCAAGGCTGAAAGCGACGGTTGAATAAGGCCAAATTGCACAACTTGTCAGCGGTTTTACTTGTTTCGCTGGATTTATGCCAGTTGAAATCAAAAATTAAAAAATAAATCGGATTTTCAAGATTGTAGCTGACTCCGCTTTCTCACACGTCACGGTCCGTTTTTCGGTGTCGCATGGAAAATAATAGTTAATGGGCATGTTATGGTTACATAACTTTTACCTTATAGGTCCGATAGAAACGATATGTCCCTGTATGTATACATGTGGCTTGAAACAATTATTTCTCACTGATTTATTAAATTATCATAAACGTCTAACCTTTGTGCCAAAAACGCTGCATAGCACTTCTTGATAATCCGAGACAATATATGGGCAATGCAAATATGAGATCTGGGTACGCGGAAGCCAGGACCAAACGGTTTCCAAAAGAGAAAAATGGTTCCGAAAAAGCATGTTTTTTTAGCACAATTTATCACGAATTTCGTTACCAAAAAAACTTATAGATGACCTGTTTAGACTAAGGATGTGTTTTTTATAATAATTTCAGGTCTATACTTTAAATGATGTTGTATGTCATGGAGAAAGTAAGTACGGTTTATCATAAATGTACTAAAATATGCATATGTATATTATTTTGTACATTTTTGTATTCTTAAAGAAGTAGTTTTCTGGCTTAGGAATTTTCCGATGATTTTTGAACGTTCTAGTATGATTGAAGTAGGACTTGCGTTTGGGTCCATTTATTTCCCAGCTGACAACTTTCTTTTTTCTTCTTTTACGAGGGTCCGCAACAGCAGAGGTCATACCAACCCTCGGGGTGTTATGGAAAAAAAGCCATTTGTAAATATTTCGGGCTTGAATGCAGGGCTGCCGGATTCGAACCCGGGACCTTTACCTTACAGTGATGAGCGCCGTGTCAACGCGTAAACCTTTGAGGCCACCGACGCCCCCAAGACAACTTTCTAAAAACATAGTTGCCAAACTAACACAAGTTAGCCAGTGTAAATGACGAAACACCAAACTAAGGCTTGAAGTGTATTTTAAACGTGTAACAGTATGAGAAAACATGTTCTTCTATCGAATTGTTTTGAAATGTGTCGAAAACTGTTGACTAGCTTTGATATTCATGTCCTGAAACACCACGGGGCTTGGCAAACCGCCCAAGCGAATGAGGGTGTTCCGCTCCTAATTTGCGTGTCGAGGGCCAACTTGAGAAAGGAACACAAGCGATTTGTACTCGATTCGATTACCTGGAGGCTGTAGGATTTGATGTGAAGTGTGCGGCGGGTTGGGGCTGCTACCCTCGAAGGACCAATCAGTACCAACTCGTCCCGAAGGGTTACTGAAATCTGTAACAAGGACTCGAAATTGTTTTTATTACATCATCTCTGCAGGCAGCCAAGCCTAAATCAATATCCGCCCTTTCCTTATGAGGAAAGAATTACAAAACATTACGGGTCAGGGGTGAAACACTCTCCAGGTTTTAATATAAATTAAGATTACGAGTCAGCAGGTGTCTAGCAGACATATTACTTTTGGATCCTTAGTCCTTATCATCATAGAAAATTTTTCCAATTTTTGAAAAAATCGATCAGAATAGCTGTCAGAACATTAAATACAAAAAAAAATCTTTCAGCATTAATCATTGACAGACATTTTGGGTTCGAGACGGACAGACTACCTCGAAATGTATACCATGAAAAATATGCTTGCATTAGTAGTAACATATGCAATAAATAGAAATTACAAGATATCATCTATCGAAAGAACAATCATTCCAAAATACATAATTATACACAGTTAAATCATACCAAGTTGTATAAACAAAACTGTACCTTCCTATGTTAATGAACTATTTGGACGCAGGACGTGTTATTTTTTTATAGAAGAGAGAAAGTTTATTAAAATATGGTGATTAATACAAATAGTGTAACAACGGATATATAATTTGTATATTTCCAACTCTTCTATAAAAAGAGGTAGTTAATCAATGGGTCAACTGTAACATAGCGCAGTAACATTAATATAGTACACAAATTTAATCTTGCATCGTTTTAGTCCGATTATAAATTTCGTTACCATCCCAAAGGTATCTCCTTTTGAAACGGATTTGTAAAAAATATTTTTTTAGGAAGAAACAGATACTTAGCAATGAACAGTTAAACAAGTGCAGTAAAATTTTAATGATTATTTGGAGATCGTGATATGCGGTCTGGTGTGATGTAAGTTTTAGAAAAAACATTTTCTTTGTCGTGCTAATGTTTCGATCTTTATTGAGATCATCTTCACGGCCTTGTTTTGTCTGCATTTTAACAAAAACGTTCTCTAAGGACATCGCCAACAATGAAAAGAAACTTGCATCGGCTATCAGTCAGAGAACTCTTGTTGAAAAACAAGGCACTGAAGATTATCGCAATAAAGATCGAAACGTAAAGAAAATGTTTTTCTAAAACCTACATCATCCCAGACCGCATCTCACCATCTCCAAATAATCATTAACTAACAGTCACTAAACACAACACATTAATTTTTAACATTTCGTCCTACAAGAAATGTTATGAACCAATTCAGTCATTGAATATCCTACTCTAATTATAACGAAATTAAAAGGGTCTGGATTATAATAAACTAGTGTCCTGTTGGGGCAATAGTCGCATTCTATAGTAGGAATCATAAAACGATGGGATTTACGAACGTGGAATACTTGAGATTGAGAATAGCATGCAAACAGAAACTTAGTCGTTGTGGCATAGATAGGTGGATACAATATATTATAATGAGGTCTTAAAAGAGAAATTAACTTTAATTGTACACCATACAATACCTTACAATTGACAATAGTGGACAACGATGTGTCGATGACCAGGCGGTTCTCCTTCTGAAGAATGAAAACTCCAACAATTCTTCTGGTATAGGTTTGTTAAATCTACGCACATCCACGTACACTATCAACAAAACGCAATCAAGTTCAAATTTTGCTGTTACATATTTTTTCTACTTTTTGACATTAGCCATTAGCCAAGACCTTATATAGAAAGATAATTAATTGAAAGAAGTAACTTGGTCAATTGACCACTAAAACGTAAAAACGTAAATATCTAAACTTTTTTTCTAAGTACATGCTGAATATTCTTAAAAGAATGTCTCCATTCTCTCCCCAATTAAAATTAGCGATGAATCTCATCAGACCTAGTATTTTCGTTTAAAGCCGGGAACACACTTACCCGATGCAACGCTATGCGACGTTATCCGATGCTACCCGACGCCTTGTCACGTTTTGGGTAGGGTGTGCACATCTGTGCGACGTCAAGCGCGCGCCACGTACAGTCATAGCGTGTATCACAAATCAATATCACAATCGCAACGTCTCTTTTAATGCATTATTTTGAGCAAAACCATGTAATAAATTGTTTGTTAAGCTTAATTGTTTTAAGTAAAGTTATTCCGGTGTTTTGATCAATTTTCTTTCTAACCATCATAATTAATTAATTCTTATAAAAACTCATGAATTTTTGATATCGTTTAATTTGGTTTACATTAAAATAAGCATGCTGTAATTAATATAACGATAAAATTACATATACATAGTTCGAAATAAACTACAAAAAATATGAGTGTCCGGTTCTGACGCTACTCGACGAAAATGGTGTAATCAAGGGATTTTATCACTTGCCGGAGAAGATTCTTTCACCGTACTCAGAACAAGATCTACTTCAAACAAAGTGAGCAATGTGAGATGAGTGTTTCACACTTCTTCTTCGCCAATTGCAAAA